TTAAAATATTTTAACTCCATCCATAATGTGTCAATTTCTTATCAATCAAATTCTTACATTAGTTTAATTATTTACTTGGGTATTCAATTTTAACACAAACATGAAATATAGAGTATATTTAAAAGAAAATTTTAGAATAAATGTTGCATATCGGAATGCAATGTAACGATGATACGTTGAAATATACCATTAAATAAATTATTCTTATTAAAAATTAGAATTTCTCTATAATTAATATCTTATAAACTAATAGTTAACGTTTAGTGCGAAGATTATGACAATGGGTTACTATAACCTTTTTTTCCAAACAGATTGAGAAAGAATACAAATGAAAATATACGACCTCATCGAAAATTAGAGTGTTCTAGCCGATTTCATTCCCTTTTCACCTCCAAGTTCTACAATCTCACCGGTCAGTGCACCTTCTATACCCACTGACCACTTGGTTGATTTTTCAACAAGGGTCATATTACAGTGTTTGTGAAAAATAGTGAGACTACACGATGTCTTTGAGGAAGACGACGAGATTGTACAACGTCTTTAGGAGTAGGGGCAGTTCAGCTTGATGACATAAGATTCATGTACGGAGTGTTAACATCGAGAGGAGGAAGAAGAAGACGTCTAGTGTTTCGCACGTTTTCCGGAACCATCTAGAAGACGCTCAATGCTCCATGAATCTGTCCCGAAAACACTATTTATTTCACCATATTTTAGAGAATAATCTTGGAAGTGCAATATATGAGAAATTTTTTCCCAGATCGCCATTCAAGCATTTTTTTATCATCAAAGAATATATATTTATCTTTTGAGCTTATATTTGAATTCATAAGATGTATAATTTTTAATATTAAAAATATTAAAAATATTAAAAATTTAGGCATAAATGTATAATTTGGACACTTATAAGAGATTATTTCAAACTCTATCCTTTTTCGTTAAAAATGTGTTGACGGTCTGAGGCGGACGTTAACCTGTTGATTGAGATATGATAGTCGCTCGAGATTTTGGGATCAAATTTTATCTTATCACAGACAGCAGGATAACGTTCAACTCATTCTGTCATCAATTTTTTAACAGAAAATGACGAGTTTAGAACATATGAATAATCGAGTGATCATTTTATAACTTGTAATAGTCGGGAGACTCAATAAAATAATAACCCATAATCATGGGATCATTTCGTAGTCGATAGACTCAATAAAACGACATCAAGTCAGGAGATTATTTGTGTACTTTAGCCTAAAGTTTAATGTGCATAACTCAACAAAATTAATTTTTAACTATCCCCGGCTTGGAGGTCGCCATTACAATAGTCTTTCCCAAGGGAGAAGAGCCTGCAAAGCAGTAATTTATGGAGATTAAAATTTCACTTCCCTAATCAAGGTCCGTTGTGCACACTCACTTGTTAATTGTGTACCAACATCATTCCTTGAGTTACCAACCTGCCATTGTAACAAAATGAAGCTGGTAAATCCAGATTTACCAAAGAATCAAAGGGAAAGAAACAAAAATCAAGGCAGTTAATACATTTTACAGAATTACCAAAAGTGGGGGAGTAATAGTTGTACATGATGTGAGAGAATACCACGAAAGTCGGTTATTTAGTTTCAAGATAATGTTTAGAAAAGTCGTCTCGGATATTTTCGGGACGTGAGTGAAATTAAAAAATAAGTACTTATAGAACGAAAGTATATTTTATTACTTTGAATAATTAATTTAGTTTTACATTAATAAATTTTCAAAAAAATGATTAAATTTTGTTAAAAAATATTTTCATTGTATTGTTAACACCTTAAATACAACTAAGAGGATAAAAAAAATGAATTTGGGTATGGTATGATTTTGATTTTGAACAATAAATAAAAAAGATAAAGAACAATGTATTATTTTTCTGTTAGATTGAGATTGGAGAAGACTAAGAGTTAAATAATATTTGATAAATTGAATAATTCAATTTGAAGAAAAAAAAAAGAAAATATGATTAGATTAAATTCAAAATTAAATGAATTGATGAGAGAGATGGTGAAATTGATGGGAAATTGAAAATTTTATGGAATTGAAAAAAATTAGGGGCTTAAATTATAAAGGTAAAAAGTGAGATTGAAAAATTAGGGGCCTCAATTATAAAGGTAAAATGTGAGATTGAAACAATTAAGGGTCTCAATTATAAAGGTGAAAAGTGAGATTAAAAAAATTATGGGCCTCGACTATAAAGGTAGAAAGTGAGATTGAAAAAATTATGAGTCCCAATTACAAAGGTAAAAGGAGGGATTGAAAAAATTAGAGGGCTTAATTATAAAGGTAAAAAGTTGGATTGAAAAAAATTAGGGGTCTTAATTGAAAAGGTAAAAAATGAGATTATAAAAATTAGAAACCTCAATTATAAAAATAAAAAAGTAAAGTTGAAAAATTAGGATCCCTATTAAAAATTGGGGTCGGAGCAATTGCTCATGGTGCTCCCCTGTTATCCGTGATGCTTAGATACAATATCGTTGTGGAAGCATGTTAATTAAGATATAAAGTTAATTTTTATGTTGAGTTGGTTACAGATAATTGATAGGATGACTTGACTTTCTAAGGATAAAATATTGTAAATTTTAAAAGTTATTATTTGATGTATTAAAAAGTAAAAAATGTAATTTTATAAATATTATTAAGAATATCATAAATAATTTCAAATATTTATTTCAAAATTTAAAAAATAAGTGAAAGATATCAATCATCATCAAGATGATGCTTATGCATGAAACAATTATTTTTCTAATTATAAATTTCATGCAACATATTTACAAGAGGTGGACAATCTTTGAAGTTATAGAATTCTGAATTTAGGGATCAAATTCTTATGTTTCCAATAAGACAACCGATGATCTATTTTAATTTGAAATTTCTCTTATATATATATATATATATATATATATATATATATTGTCGTAACTGTTTTTCGGCAGGTACAATTGCTTAATTATTTTAAAAACGATTAAGACTTTTAATTTGGAAAATTCCGGTGATTTGGAATTAAATTGGATAGAATTGAAAGGAGTCGCCATCGACCTTTGGGTTAGGTAGGTCGAATACCTAAAAATGTCTTTTAAAAAACAATTTTAAGAAAAAGCATTTTTTAAGACAAAAGCTGATCTGCGTTTACCAAAGATTTGATTAAAACGGATTCGGGAGTCGGTTACGCGTGGGGAATGATTAGCACCCCCACAACGCCCTAAATCAGTACCTAGTCGATTAATTAATGTCTTTGCAATGAAATTTACAAATTCAAATTTAATTTGATTTTTGATCCCCAACAAAATAACAACATACGAATTTTACCATAAAAAAACCCAGATTGATTAAGTTAAAATTATTCAGCCTTTAGAAAGATAAAGAATATTCGATTATTTAAAAATATTGAGACCAGATCTTAAATAGTTATAACAACCTTTTCTCGATAAATTTAAATCGCCAAACATTTCTTTTTCTTCCATTACCAAATTTTAAAGTGACAAGTCAATTTATTAGGTGTCATTGATGGGATACACTTTTATTTTAAAATCGTTAAAAGGGAACCTCGAATAAGTTAAGACAACCCACTTAAAACGATTTTAAATTAAAAGGGTATTACCCTTAATCCAATTATGTAATAATATCGAGTTATGCAAATGAGGTAAATATGCAAAAATTAATTAAAAATGTCATCCATTTGAATAAACATTTAAGTCTAAAATGCACATATAATTACATATTAAAAAAATAGATAAACATATTATATAATTACATATTAAAAAAAATAGATAAACCTATTATAATTATATTAACAGGCAACCAATACATGCTAAATCAATTAACAACCATAAATATATTATTAATATTATTTACTTAAAGTTGAAAATAACATTTAATAATATAATATGTACATGCTATAAAAAATGCATACCACACATTAAAATAATATGAAATTCATCACTTAAAAACAAAATTAAACCTACTACCAAAAAAATTAAAGCTTTAAATCAACTGTCATAAATATACTATTAATATTATTTACTTAAAATTGAAAATAATATTTATTAATATAATATGTACATGTTAATCAACTAAAAAAAATATATATATTAGAATAAATATTTGATTTTAAAGAAACATTTTAAAATATATATGCACCTACTAATATATACATATATGACACATTAATTAATTCTTATAATTTTACTTAATATAATTAAAATTTATTAAAACATAGATAAAACTTATTTAATCAAAAACACTAAACTTCATATTAATACATTACACGTATCATCCTAAAAATATATGACTGAAATATATAAGCAAATAAATCTAAGACTAAGTTCATAAATTAAACAAAATTCAAGTCATAGAACGAAAATAATCACATTTCATGTATTAAATTGATATAAACCCATAATTTAAGACCAAAACGTAACATGCAAGAATTTAAGCATTAAATGTCTAAAACAACAACAATACAATACATTCATAGCTAAAATCAAATACACACATAAAAATAAAAAGATAAAATTGTAAACACACAAACTAACAATTAAGGACTAAAATGAATTATAATAAAACAAGATGACCTATAACCCAAAACATTATAATATAAAACTGGGAAAATAACGAAATCAAAACAAGTACATAAGACTAAATTAAAAAGCAATCCTGAAAGTGCCTAATTTATAAAAGGGTGTTCAAGTTTAGGGACTATAACTTAATTTACCCAAAATATTTGATATGAAACATAAATTTACCAAAACTTAAGCTAAACTCACGCACACAACTAAACTACTCCATTTCATCAAAAAGATAAAAAACATGAATATTAAATTAAAATCTAACCTAATAACTAAACCAATTAAAGTGTAGTAGTGTACCCCTGCCTCACTTTTCTCTCCACTTTCCCTACCTCACGCTTTACTCTTCACTTTCCCTCACCCACGTTCAACGCGGCTCTCTTAAACGAATTAGAAAGCAACCCAATCCCGACATGCACGACCTAAAGCTCCGGTGAACCATTCCCAACGGCGAGAACTATTCTTTCGAAGGTAAACAATCACTCCCTCTTTTTTCTATTTTATTTTGGTTTTATTAAATTAAATCTTACATTTCTTTCTTGACGATGGAAACTGAACAGAGAACAAATGGAGTCAACAAGACTCTACTTGCGTTCGAATAACCCAGGTTAATCGACTCAAAATAATTTTTAGTTTCGAAATAATACACCTAAAAGAAAAACTGGAAAATAAATAAAAGATTGCATCAAAATACCTCTTAATGTTCTCTTTTTATTAATTTTTTTTCAATTCGATGCTTACAAGCACTAAGGGGAACCCTCCCTTTGGTTATAACGAGAGAAACCCCTCTATGTCTTCTATTTTTTTATGACTGAGCTCCGTTGTCGTTGAAAATTCCTCCCCGTTGTTGAAAATTGCCCTGTTCGAATCAACTTCCTCTCTGAACTGTTCGGATGGTTCCCCCTATTGTTGGTGATTTTTTTCTGTCTAATTTCTCCTTTTTTCTTTCCTCCCCTCTTTGCTTCGAATGAGTCTCCATTTATAACTGCTATATAGTGGATTTTCCACTGATTTTCGGGCTGTGGTAAGGCATGATAGAATTTCTGGAATTTTTATTTGTTTTAGTGGATTTATTAGGTCTGATTTTTATATTTTTGGGTGCTATTTGGCGTAAGGAATGACGATGGTGATGATAACTGGCTCGGCGGTGCTGAAGCATTCGGCTAGAGTGTACACTGTTGCGGTTGGATGGTCACGGGCGGCAGCAGCTTGTTTTAACTGTTGGAGGCTGTTGATTTAGGGTTTTAAAACCCTAATTATATTGGGCCATTTTTGGGTCTTGATCCAGTTTGTTGCATTGTAACTTGTAATCTGGACTGAATTGTAACTAGAACTGGGCCTGCAAACACATGTAATAATTTTATTAATAATAAATATAATAATATTAATAATATTTTTTAAGTTCGGTCAAAAATGGGTGTCTACAGCTGCCCCTCTTTGCACATTCTTGTGTTAACAAGAATAGGGCAAAGATGAAAAAGACAACCAGTTTTTGTCCGGTCTTCTTTTTTTGTTTAGCATTTGATTTGGATATCATTCATTGTAAAATGTTGATCCTTCGAGTGATACATTGCTGATTTGAAGTGTTGTTAATCGAGCAAAAGAAATGTTGAGAGCATCTTGCCCGAAGGTCTTATGGATGGCCCGAAGGACTTAAAAATCAAGAAACCCCCGAAGGCTCAGTTTCTTAAATCTCATTTGAAAACATCCTGCACTGAAGGTCTTATGGATGACCCGAAGGACTTAAAAATCAAGAAACTCTTGAAAATCAAGCTCAGTTTCTAAATTGTCACTAAGGAACCTCTACATATCATGATGGTCCCTCAAGCTTTTTATGAAGAAACCCCTACATATCACGATGATTTCTCAAGCTTGTCATCAAAGAACCCTACATATCACGATGGTCCTTCAAGCTTGTCATCAAGGAACCCCTACATATCACGATGGTCCTTCAAGCTTGTCATCAAGGAACCCCTACATATCACGATGGTCTCTCAGGCTTTTCTTCAAGAAACCCCTGAAAATCAGGCTTAGTTTATAAAAATATTGTGTTTCGAGCGAAACTATCTCAAGGGATAAAATCTTTTGTTTCAAGGAAAAACAATCTTGAACGAGATACAATATTCTGTTTCAAGGAAAAACAATCTTGAGTGAGATAAAATCTTTTGTTTCAAGGAAAAACAATATTGAATGAGATAAAATCTTATGTTTCAAGGAAAAAAAATCTTGAGTGAGATAAAATCTTATGTTTCAAGGAAAAAAAATCTTGAATGAGATAAAATCTTCTGTTTCAAGGGAAAACAATCTTGAGTGAGATAAAATCTTATGTTTCAAGGAAAAACAATCTTGAATGAGATAAAATCTTCTGTTTCAATGAAAAACAATCTTGAATGAGATAAAATCTTCTGTTTCAAGGAAAAACAATCTTGAGTGAGATAAAATCTTCTGTTTCAAGGAAAAATAATCTTGAGCGAGATAAAATCTTCCGTATTAAATGAGACTGTCTCAAGCGAGACAAAATTTGTTTGAAAATGTTGAATCTGAAGATGATTGCTCCCTCTTGTTGAGGATGTCTTGTTGTCTTTTACTCTAATTTTTTTCCTGAAAGATCTGCAAAAATGTACTGAATGCAACTATTATGAATGAATGTTTGATGCAAAGATGCAAATTCATGTAGGTGTAATGCATGACTTTTTATATGCAAATGATGTTCTTATGAATGCAAAAAATGTTGATGCAATCTTCATTTAACTTCAAAGTGGCCATCTCGGTCTTATTCTACTTGATCACTTCTTCCCAAAGTCTACTCAAATATTCATGTAGCAACTCATAATTTCCAACTTGCATTTTTGAAGATCCATCTAATCTTCTACTCTCTTCTTGTCGTCTTCGTTTTCTGTCTTCATTTCAGAGAAAACATTTTCTTTTTCAACTTCTTGCTATGATCAGAAATATGACTGTGTTGCCCTATTTTCAGAGACTATGCATATGAATATGTCAAACTCCGTAAAGATCAAAAGGGAGAGTTGCGTCAATTCTGATTTGACTCTTGAAACTCGACATCAGGAGGACCTATCCAAATTTCATGTCACCACATCTAGTCACACATCAAATGAGGTTCGTTTTTAACAACAACTCATCTTTCAGCCTTAGTTGATACCACTAGTCTCTTGCTGTTAAGATTTTATCACCTCTTTCATGGAAAGCAATCTTCATCATATCTCACTTCTAACCTTGGGGTTGAAGAAGATAAACTTCATAAATAGAAACACCATATGAACGTAACATTCGTTCAGCACCATAATCACTGGTTCATAAAGCATTTGACACACATTTATCATTTCATGTAGCTTCTGCTCAGATTTCTCAATCAGTGATGCTCTTTGCATAGTGTTTGGAGCTTTTGTAGGACATCACTTAAGAACAAAGTTCAGTGAGACCGCAAGTAGGATACTTTAACTGCCAGCATCAAATCACCAGAATAATACAACTTCCTGATGAACAAAGCAATTATATATAGTTAGCTCCACTGTCACTGATTTATCATTTTCATTCTTCATATCTTGTTATCTCATTGGAAATATTTTATCAAATCAATGATCTTGACACATGATGATATGGGACTTCAGCATACCCCACCATTTGCTGATACGTTCAACATTACTTCTTGCTCATGTGAGTCTTCAACATGAACTTTCAAAATGCCCCACATGAATCATTTTTGTCTGAAATGGGCCTTCAAAATGCCCCAACATTCTATTTCTGGTTGAAATGGACTTTTAAAATATCACAACCTTTTCATGTTGGTGTGAGCCTTCAAGATACCCCACATGGATTGCTTCTGTCTTTTTCATGCTGATTTGAACCTTCATGATGCCCCACATGGATAATATGGACCTCCAACCTTCAAGTCAACTTTGATAATACCCCATTTATGGATCATTGTGGCTTTATTTGTGCTAAATGTGTTTAACTTGAATACTCTCGTTACGGTGTTACTAAACATCAGTGTTGTCAAGTAACCTGAGGGAATGTCTTCAAGTGATCAATCCTTCTGATAGAATGTCTGAGATATGTGCATGTTCTGAATAAGGTAGTCATATTCTGCTTGATTAATTGAATTCTTGCCTTTTTTTATGCACTGAGATATGTGACCTTTTTTTCGAACGAGACAATCATCATCTTCTTATCAGGTTGCTGATAATGTCACAAGAGAGTGTTACAAGTTCTCTCCTCCAACCCTCATGATCTTCTGGACCACTTACTTTCAAGAATATGAAGTGCTTCCTCATTTTGGCATCGCTCATTCTTTTTCTCAAATAGAGGCATAACAGTCCTCAACTTGCTTCAAGAACCTTTCTTATTTGAGATTGTCCTGTTTGAAAATGTTTTCCTCCTTTCTTTATCAAAGAATAAAAGAATTTTGTAAATTATTGTTTCTTACAGGTTCACAATAGAATCAAATCATAAGCATGAGTTTAAAGAATATCAAAAGAATTAACAGCTCTTTAATTTTTTAAAGTTATAGTTCTTTGACAAGTATCAAAATTTATGGGTAAGTTTCAGGTTGGCTTTCCTATTTTCTATGGTTACATCCATTGAAGATGTCACTCCTCTCTCACTCTTTGTGAACATTGCCACATACCTCACTTTCTTGACTTGGTATTTTAACCGGATGCGGACAAAATGAATCAACTAGCATAGCCAATTACTAGACCTTCTAGAATACCTCTATTTCACTTCTCTGAAATCTTCCCTTTAACCAAAGCAATGCAAAAATATCGATCTAAAAATGAAATTTCTGTGTGCTCGTGTATAGTTGACTATAACAGGTGTTCCTTAACTCCCTTAGTCCATCTTTACCGAAACTCCTTATTCATAAAATTGATTTAATTTGCCATTGTCTGGCTAGCTGAGACCAGCTTTATTGTAATTTTCCTTTATCGGGCCAACTGAAGGGTTCATCTCATCACAAAGTCTTTGACTTGACAATCACAGTGGAGCATACACCGAATTGCCAAGTACCCGATCAAGGTCATGGTTTGAATATAATCAATTCATAAATCCAGGGCTTTCGAGTTTCCTCTATAACTACTTGCCTTAGCGGAATAGCTCAACTTTATTGTATATAATAGTATAATAAGCTAGCTGAATATTATCCATAAAGCTGGGGCTATTAACCAATTGTTTTAGAGGGACAACTCAAGCTTTATTGTATATATAATAATATAATCTGGGTGCACGGATCAATTTCTTAAGCTTGTCAAGAAAAACCTATTATAGTCTAGGTGTTTTGTTGGAAATCAGAAAATCTCATCGTTAGAGTTCAATTCCCAAGCAACTGACTTTACCTAATTGTGAAGATTTCATCATCGAACGTCATCAATAGAAAGTAATCTATACAATTTCGCAAAGTCACACAAAAGATGCCCCATGTTGTACGATCCTATATGTAAATACCAAACCTTTTATCTAATTCCTTGCACTGGAGAAGGCTATCTCATATTTGTAGAAGGGTACAATGTTTGGGTATATTTCATCTGAAGTCAAGTCAAGGCCCTTGTTTTACTAGTTTTCAATCTTGATAATTTGTCAAAGATGTGCAACTCTAATCATAAAGAGTTTTTAATCATGTTGATATTCAAATAACTGCAAGATTGCAAAATTGATTCAATGCTCATAACCTTAAAAGCAACAAAAATTTATTTATTACACAAAAGGAAGAGAAAAGAACAAAAAACAAGTTCAAACAAGATGCTAAAAATGACATGAAGTTTCATGAAATGACTTCTTCCTAATTAGGATGCCCCCATTACTCATTTGATATAGCAACACCTGACCCAAACGGATGCAACATTATGTGCTTTGACGCCCCACAAACGGATGCTACATTATGTGCTTTGATGCCCCACTTGAACTTATCATCCACTGTTTCACCAATTCTTGTGTTAACATCCCATTTTTCACAAACGTCTTTATCTCCTTTAACAACGACCTACAATTTCTCGTAGAATGCCCCAATGCCAAGTGAAAATAACATACACTATCTTGATCATAGATGTGAGCAGAAGGGTCTGCTTGCACTTTAACTGGCCTCGGTGTGAGGTATTGACCTTTAACCAAATGGGGATACAGATCTGAGATAGAAGTTTGGAATACTTTCAAATTATTTTTTGATCTTGGGACTTTCTTTGAAC